GTCCAGATGCAAAGCTCTATGTGAGTCGCAAGGGACGAAAGTTCCATGCAAATCCAAAGTGTCACGGACTGATCCAAGCCACGGATGTCCAAGGTATCACCGTTTGCAAGTATTGCTTTAAAGGCAAGATTGAGTGACGCATCTTGAGCCCAATGCGCGACCAACGGGGGAGCAGCAAGAGGCACATGCTTTAAGGAGGGTGTGCGAAAGTTGCTGACCCCACACCACTTTCTAGGTAAAGCATGTACCTTGTACAGTTGTATAGAGGTGTCTTTACCGAAGCCCTTTATAGGCACAAGCAAGAGTGGGAGAAAATAGGTTTCCGCTCGTTTCGCAGTTTTTGAAAAATGTCCGGACGGGGCGCTTCCAAATTATTGGGGGGCCTTTTGTACTGATGTCTAAAGCTCACGAAGTAAACAGAAGGAATGAGAAGCCCAAGCAAGTGACCCTGAGCACTGCAAGCAAAAACCTACGAATCTCATCGCAACCACAGTGGGCGCACACCCTTCGAACGCCATCACGTGGCACAGGATTTGATAATGCAGGCGCGGCCCACTTCCGGCAAAACTTACAATAGTTTGCGCGTGTAGTCTGCGTCTTGCAAAACCAATTTGCAAGACGCAAATGTCGAAAGGTTAGAGGAAACTGCATTGGGCAAAATTGCATTCTATTAGCATTATCTCTTGCACATAGGGACGGGAGGTTTGGGACTTGAAGTTTGGAAGTTGAGGGCTAGGGGAGCCTCGGGACTTGAAGTTTGGAAGGTGAGGGAAGCCTTGCGACTTGAAGCCTTGGGACTTGAAGGAGGGTAGGGGAGCCTTGCAACTTGAAGTTGGAGGTTGAGGGGTAGGGAAGCTTTGGGACTTGAAGTTTGGAAGGCTTGGGACTTGAAGGTTGGAAGTTGAGGGGTAGGGAAGCCTTGGGAATGAAAATTTGGAAGTTGAAGGGTAGGGGAGGCTTGGGACTTGAAGTTTGGAAGTTGAGGGGTAGGGGGAGGCTTGGGACTTGTGAAGTTTGGAAGCTGAGGTGGAAAAGCTTGAAGTTTGAAGGTTACTGGCAAGGCTACTGGCAAAAGTTTCTCACCGCCCCACCCCCCACCCCCGCCACCACGCTTTGTGCAGCAAACATGATAAACGTTACGTCAGCGCTCGTTTTGGAGATGCTCTTGAAGCCTAAGCGACTTCAAAACGTTTCCAAATCTCATTCTATGGCCTCGCTCACCTAGGTTCTTCGAACTTGAACTCCAAGTCTCGTTCTGATTCTTCTTATGTTCTCAAACTCTGGGGAATTCTGGCCCCAGAAGCCCATCCTCAGCAATGAGGGGTTCTCTTTGAGAGCCCAAGTCTATACTATACTGTGGTCCCCCCCTGCTTCTGGAAACCCCAGAACATGCAAACTGGAAAGTCAAAGGTTTGACTTTCTCCAGGCAGAGAGCATACAGCAGGCACAGTGGAACAACAATGCGTGGCAAGCAACGACAATACCGGATCAAGGAATCAACACTGAGGCAGCAACTACGACATCAACGTCCATTACCGCTTGCCACCACGAAACCACAAGTGACGAGCATAGCCCGTACGGCTGCCTGAAATGCTGTCCACCGAGGGTCCGCAAGTTGAGGGCGCTCACTCTGCTCAGTGCAGCACATCGCTGCTCTCCTTCTAACGCGGACATCGTCACGCCTCATCAGTATGCGCAAGAAGCCATCTGTAGCAGGATCAGGTGCCTTCGGCTGCAAGGCCCGCACGGCGGTAACAAGAGCCACAGCAGGACCACACGCATCGGGCCTGGTGCAATCCACGCAGCACGACACGTAAACCAGAACGTCTGCCGCAGAAAAGCAACCTGAGAGCGTAACTCCAGATGTGAGGGGAGTGGAGGGTAGGTTCTGCACGAACACGTCGATGCAAAGACTCCGGGGCCTTGTAAAGTTGGACGACCTTGGTCGAACGACACGAAGCAGAAATGCTTGGCGTGGGCCTGAGGCGCGCACAAAGTTGTCCGTTTCTTCGCTGTCGCCTCCGATCCTCTCTTCCGAGCTGCGAAGCTGCCGACCATCTAGTCTCACCACTTTGGTGGACTGGTAAAGACCATCAGCACTGCTCAGCCTTGGCAGCAGCAGGAAACCACATGAGCACGTCCACATTCCACGAGACATGTTTCTTCACTGGGTTTGGGAAACACGCTGAGAGCAGCACTCGATGACGGGAATGTGGAAACCGTCGCAGTCCACACTTACTTTCCCCGTGAGCACAGCCATGTGTGTCCATGGCTTCCACGCCTGAGTGAGTCAAGCTCAAACGCGCAGCCCAAGATTGTCACCATTCCGTCCGGGACAAGAGCTCACTCTCTTCCGTACATTCTTCTTATTCAAACCTTTGTAGTTATCACTACTTCTGAGATGTAGCTGTGCAGCCACACATTTGTGGATCTTGGCCCGGCACAAGTTGCAGGCCCAACACGTCGCCAGGTCGCATTTCCTGGACTAGACCCTGGGTTCCACTTACATAAATCGATGCACAGGACCGCTGCACTACTCAGCCACAGAAGCTTCGCAGATCCGAGCCTGAAGGGCTGCTTCAACTTTGTTGAGGACTCAGCTCAGGGAATGGGATGCTCATGTTCACAATGTGCACGCAATGCGCACACTCAACAAGTGGGCCATTTCATTTCAGGCACTGACAGTGCTGACAATGCTGACGGTTGCCATCTGACACCATTTGCAAACATCACCACTAGAGATGGTCCGCAACTGAATGATAGCCATGATTGCAAATGCACACACAGGGCATGGGACATGATGTGCTGTGCCGGCAAATGCCTTGCCTGAGTAGAGCTGCGGTCCAGCTCGACGGCCTTGCTTTAAGACGATGAACGACCAGTAGAGAATCAACCCGTCACGGATCACGCAGTGCGGTACCCAACTCGAAAAAAATTGCACAGGCGGGGCACCAGCAAGCTGCTGGCGCACGCTACGGCATCAGCAGAGCCCCGGATGATAACCTCCAAGCCAAGTGCCAGCGGGTAATAGGAATTCTTGCGAAGTGCCCAAAGCCATATCTCCCCAGCGGCACCTTGCTCCTGGCAGCACGAATCACCTACAGTAAGTGCTCTTCCGGATTGGCCACACCACAGGCAGACAGAGCCAACCAATCTCTCAACCTACCGCGTTGCTGCCCCCCATCCCAGCGTCGGCTGTTAAAGCGTGGACAAGGCAGAGCAGCACAAAGCAATTCCGTTTTCACTCCTTGGAAGAGCAAATGTTATAAGGCAGAGGCATCCAAGGAGGCGCCGCTTCGGAGCTGAATGTTGGACAGGACAGAGCCTGATGCACGCACGGTCCACAACACCAAGTCGGGCAGTCCTCGCAACTCGATAGCACGTGCTTTGGCCCGGGCTGTGCAGCTCCGAATCTACGTCCTGCAACTCCTCTTATAGTACACTCAGTGCCGAAAGTGCCTGTGACAACGTGATATCTATACGTACACTAAGCTAAACCCAGACACACGCAACATGTCGCCAGTCCAGGATCTTGGTTTCCATCTCTGGAAGGTTTGAGGTTCACAAACCACAGATTTGCTGCGGTCTTGAGCCTGTTCCAGCACTACATGTCCGTGAAACCGATTCATAGAGATGGCTTCTTTGGAAACAAACATGACAAATCATGACAAAGAATCTCCACGCAAAACTACCGGGAAACATCGGCTGGTAATCTGATCTTAAACGTCTGTGGAAAATGGCTGTGTGCCAGCAACTGTCCAGCATTACCAGAACATGTCAACGGTAAACAAAAGCTCAAACTAGAGTTGGCAACTTGTCGTGATTTGTTAACTGATTTTAGCATTGAAGATGCCTGAGAAAGTTTCTTCGGGATTGAAATGTCAACCAGTCACCCCTTCAGTCTATTTACTTGCATTTGCCTCAGGGATATGAATCAAACTCATGTCTAGCAGATTTGCTTCAACAAAAGTATAGTACTCAAAGGCCAAAGTACTTGTTGCATTAGGGGCTAAAGATACTAGGGTACATGAACGAAAGCCAATACAATCAGGCCCTTAATGATATCTTTTTCTTCTCTTGAAAAACACTGAGACTTTCCTTGGACCCCCGAAATTTGGGGCATTTTCCTGGGACCGCCCTGGGACCCTGCGACGAGACTTCGCTGGAACCCTGATTCCGGGACTGCTGTGGCCCGGCTAGGCAAGGGTTGACAACTAACAGACTTGGAGGACAGAACACACTGCAACGAAATTCAAAGAATCGAAACCGAACTCAACCTAATCTCATCAAGAGCTTTATGAACAGAGCTTGAAAATGGATATCTAGACCCATTTGTTTAAACACATTTGGAAGACATCGAGTAAACGTTTCATGCTATTTCATGGCTGCTTATGCGAATCGCAGTTTGTCAAGTCGTGGAAAGTAGCGTAGCTTCTTACACAAGTCAGGATGGGAGTGCTCAGGGCATGCCTCTGGCACAAAGCGTCAGACGAATCCCGTCCCTCTGTAATATTATCTCGGAGAGATGGAGAAACAGAGAGAGTGAGGGGGGGGAAGATAGTCATGCTTCAGACTTGGCTCTCGGCCAACAACGAAGACATGTCCGCACAAATAGAGGCAAGCGAGCCATGCGAGCCTTCACGAATTTGCATGTTTTGCACAACACAGAGCTGGTATCAAGGTAGCCTTTGATAGCCCAATTTCAGGCAGCGACTAACCTTGAAGAAGACTACTTGCATGATCATGCTGACGCGTGGCCTTCAATCCAGAGTCTTTGCAAGAGCAGCAGCGTGGCAAGATGCAGGGAATGGCAAAGACGTGCGGACATATCCAAACCACAAGCCGAAACTGCACGGTGCAGTCCGACACCCAAGGGCTGGGTCTTAGTCCGGCGCCTCGCGGGAAGGTTGATGACGCACAGCTTCAGATTTGACTGTTTAGATATGAGGTGTAAATGTCCGCCGCGCTTGTGCTGAGCCAGGAGACTGCGGAACCGGCCATCACCAGTCCAAAGCCTTCTTTCTTGCGGCAAGGACCCCGTCGCCGAAGACGACCGGGCCATAGGCTGTCGGCAGGAAGCTTTTGCCCACGTAGTCGAAGTCCAGGGAGAAGCCGTGTGCCACGAGCCAGGTCCGCACCTCCCGGTGTATGAGCCGCCCGTGTGTACCAATGAAGAGGTGTTGCACCTTCCTTCAGAAAGGCCAGGGGGGCAGTGGTGAGTGAAGGATGGGTCTACCAAGTCTACGACGGCACTCCTCCACTTTCTTCCACTCCTGCCCGCCCCGGAACTAAGTTCTGCGAAGTTTGCAGCCCAAGCATCGGTAACAGGATGCTCCGCTTTACCAGCTCCAGCTCTGCCTCCAAAGCCACACTTGTCCCGCCACCAAAGGCTAAGGCTACATGCTGTATGACGCAGTGACACGCTACAACCTGAGCATACTTCTCCGACCGGCCTCCTGGATGTCCACATGCACAAGGTCCACGGCCCCAAAAGACTGGATGAGGCTGTCCAGTAGTTGGGCAGTTGCAGCTGACTGGTAGAAAGTGACATTGCAAAGCTCATATATACCATTGCGCTGGAGATTAGCGGCTGCCGACGCTGTGGGCACCAGAGACTCCTTAGATATCACCCCAAGCAGAAGGGTTTAGGGTTGTGGGTTTAGGGCACTTATAACCCCAATTCTAGTACTTATCAGAGACTCGATGAGGACAACATGGCAAGATCCGGTGTGGGGGAATCGGCGCCTGAAGGCTTTCGCAGCTTTCGGTGCCCAGTAGCCTATCCCGGAGCCCACCTCCACCACCACGAAGTTTGTGAAGCTGGTGGCGCTCGTGACTGCACGCAGCAGGGAGATGGTTTCGAAGTAGTCCTCTCCAGCGACGGGGCCCCAAGCCACACCCGCGCACTCGAGCATGCGCGTCATCTCGGGTTGGGTCTGGGGCAGTTGGCTCTCCAGGCCCTCCTGGCAATCCTGGTGGAGCCCAAGCCAGTCCGCGGCACCTGGACTTCCAAAATGCTTGAGGAGTCGTGGCGCGCAGTATCGTGCAGCAATTTGCACTTTCAAGTGAGGCCATAAAGCTAACAAGAGAAAACATCTGCTCCTGGACCAGACTCCTCTAGTGCAAAAGTTTACGAAGGAAACTTCCAGTCCACGATAGTCCACGGCACTCTTTCGAACCCGCGGGGGCCTTCGTGGAATTCGCGGAATTCCTGTACTTCTCCAAGGGTCGCTGCCGTCACTGCCGCCTCCACATGAGGGAGACCAGGCCTGGACAGGGCAGGGTTACATATCCAAGCATGAAGCAAGCGGCTACAGTACCTTGAGAACGTGTCCCCTTGCGAAGCTCTCTTTCCCTTCCTTCACCAGGGGGTGGTGGGAGAAGCAGCGGCGCGGCTCCCAGGGGTTGTAGACGGCGCACGTATATCCCAGCGCTCCGCACATGGCCGTGTGGTTCGCCAGGAGCCGCAGCAGCTTGGCCCCTTTATGCTGGAACTCCCAGCCTGAGCCGAGGTGTGAGTGCCGGTGATACGCAGCCCTCCACCAAGCTTTGTGCTGCCGATCCTGCTCTAGGTCCAGCACTCGTCGCTCAAGGGCATCCCGAACGGGGTACCGCTCATGCACGGCAGCCGTCGAGCATGTCGACGTCTCGTTGTTAGGCCCCAGAGACGTGACATCGACTACGTTGGCGAGGACAGCCATGGCTAACATGGCACGCGCGCACTTCGCCATGTTCACCATCTGAGGTTCGGAGCTCCTGGGCAAAAGCAAGAACTCCAAGCACAGACGCCGTACTTCGCTGGGCTCCACAAAGCGACCGCCCACGTCCAGGCGGCGCACGCGCCGAATGAGGTGCAATTCTTTATAACACGCGGCGGAGCTCAATGTCCAATCAGTCCAATCCCTCTCCGAGCAAGTGAAGCCGCCGCAGGCGGACTCCAACCAACGAGTGCGACCTGCGCAGTCAGGGCGCCCTCCAATCGCGAGCGGCGGCCTGGGCACAACTTTCATCAGCCAGCA